TAGAGTCTACTAATCTTAGGTTTAGCAATAGGTCATCATGGTAAGGTGTTAAATATATTGAATATACTGAATTAGGCATGGGCGTAGGTTTGAATAGGGACCATAGGGACATGTCCCTACCAAAATTTTGGATTGACCTACTTGTTCCTACCAACTCTAAGTGGGTCACTCTATGAGCTAAAGACATGTTTTAGAGTCTCTATACTCCAGTTAACGATTACTTGATTACTAAATTTGTTGACATTATTTCCATAATTGATTAATCCAATGAATTGTTTCAGCCCTAAATAAAATACATGAAATGGGTTAAACAAAGTAACTACATCATAGATGTACAACTTTTAGTGTGAGGTTATTATATTTAATGCTCAGTGTCAGATCCTCTTCTAGTTCCAGGGCACATGTAAATACAATACATTTATTTGACGTCCCTTGAATCTATTATTTTGCTTTATTTCATGATACAAAGAGAACATTTAAAAGAGTGGGTTTTACCTCTATTTACCCCTGCACAATTCTACATCTTCAAAATAAAAAAAAGTATAAATTCACATGTAGCAGACATATTTAGACCATATTCTGTTAAATAGGCACAGATTTACCTACTGTCTTAGTCAATGATAATTTCAAATGCAAACCTTTTCAAAGTGGAAAAAAGTCCTAATTCCCTCATTCATCATAGCCAGTTAAGCTTTAGTCATTGATAAACAGCATCTAGTGTGTGTAGTGCTTATAAAATTTGTATAAATGTAGCAAGAAATGTTGCTTTTCTCTTTAAACGAAATACACCCTGATTTTCCCGTCAAGCATAAAAAAAACAAGCATGCATATTTTTGCATAGGACCAATGGCATCAGACCAATAGTGTCCCTATCAAAGTTGAAATCAAACCTACGCCCTTGGAATTAGGCTTAAGCAAGAGGTCTGTTGACTTTAGGTTTATGAAAAGGTTTTTAAAGGTAAGCCATTGAATTTAACACTCCATTATGGTTGGAATGTTAAATTAGGGTAAGGTATGTATTTAGCTAGGTTTAAGACTAACGTGTGAATTAAGTTTAGGTTGAGGTTAGGGTCACGTATGAACCCATAATTTAGTTTCAGGATAAGCAAAGGAAGTCAATGCAAAGTCCCCACAAGGATAGAGACACTTGCTTGTGTGTGTATGTGGGTGCACTTTTTTATATAGTGATAGTTAAACAACATTTTATTATTTATTTATAATCTGACAGACAAGAATTGAAATTATCGCAAAAGAAGAAATCCTCAGCAAGCTCACAGTTTCTAGTGTTTCCAATAATTATTTACACTTTGCTGTAATTATTACATTATTATACTGATATACTGCGATATGTTGGTATGTTTTTTAGTGCATATACAAGCTTTTTTGTTATTTTCTTCCCAGATGAAGAGATACATGGTTTAAATCAATTCTGAAATGTAATTCATAGAGAATTATGTGTTGAAGTAGAGGGAGCTAACCAACTAGCACCATGGAGAGGATTCTAAAAGCTCTTTGTAGTAAGCCCAGTTTGTCTGCAATTCATCACAGTGACCAGTTAAGGAAAAAGCTGCGCTGTGAGGTACCACAGTGCTAATGCTACACATGAGGTTGGGGAGTTAAAATATTAATATTTAATCTAAAAACAGTTGTTATCAAATACTCTAACTCATATCACTCGAAAATGAAGGGGGGGAAAATCCATTGCCTGAGCCTGAACAATTCACATACAAGGGGATCATTAAGAGAGTTGCTCATTTAATTATAATTCATTAAATCCTTTTAAATTAGAAACATTTATTTTTTTATTTAATATTTCAGAATCTAATCTTTGCTAGAGAGGGAGAAAAACATAAACAGCGAGGGGTGAAAAACTCTCAGATTTGCAACTTTATGCAAACAAACAACAGCCAAAGTTTCGTCAGAGGTCTGCCTGTTGACTCCCTGCTTTCTCTTAGTTGTGTCATGAGCAAAGCTGCCTAATACTGCTTGTTTGTTTTTTGTCAATTACAACCAGCCACACATTTATTTGATACGTCTATTAATAATAATGATAAAAAAGATGGTTAATCATCCATCTAAGGAACTTACTTCTTTTGGTTTTTGTCATTTTAGGGAAGAAAACAATCATTTTTCAGCCCATTTTTATGCTCATTGGGTTTGAAACATGATGTCATTTAAACATGTTTACAGATTGAAGTTAATTACATTCTAAAGGCAAATTTAGCTATTTTGTGCAAATAACAAATTATCTAAAGTTTTTTTTGTGTGTCTCATTAATATAAAGTCTTACTAATCAACAAAGATTTCCAAAAAAAAAGCTGCTTCTGTTTGGTATTTGGTGAATTACCCTCCACCCAGATGTTGATGCTGCCTTTTTCTTTTTCATTAAACCCAACTGACAGCAAAGGAGCATAAGGATAGTTTAAAAGAAAATACACCTCTGCCGTCTGTGTCCTGTTTGATCTGCTGTAACTGTGTCTCTGCTGCTATTTCACAAGACTTATATAATACTGAAGGCTTGCATGAGAACAATGGCACCAACACACACATTCACCGGAACACACACACCTACTGAATCATAAACAAAAATGCATACGCATTGCTTCAGTTAGCCTCCTCTCCAGTTTTCTTAATATTTAAGATTCAGGATTTTTGTTACCTTTTTGTTTTTTGGTTTTTTTATTTTAGAGGAGAGTAACTTGCAAAGTTAGTTTTCAGAAACTTTTTGCGGAGATGCTTGCGTTGCATGGGGACCTTTTAAAGTCATCAGTACATGTCCTGAAAAGAACCCCGCCGCCTCAGTAAGCCACAGATGAGACCCAACAACAGTAAATGTTTTTATAGCGTTTCCATCCATATTCTATTTAATGAGTCACCTCTTTGCATCTTTACTGCTTCTTATATGAACATGTGTCTGAGCGGTTCACTGATTCGCGGAGCGGCACATTAGATCGTCATCATTCTACACATCTCAGTTCTTTGGAAAACGTTTACTCATTACTCATTCTGTAAACATGGTCAAACCTTCTGTTTAACCTGCAATTAGCTCCTAACAGCTCAGTTGCACTCATTAGTTCCATATCTGTGGACCCTCAAACACACATGGGGCCCACATGGAGCTAATGGGTAACAGTTTATGGATCCCTCATGGAAACACTGGCTGAGTCCCAATATGCTGCAACAGTTCCTCAGGATAATCTATTAATTTTCAAATGAATTCATTCAGAAAAGAGGATGACTCAATTTGGATTTAATTTCTCAGTACAAGAAAAGTTTATTCAGTTGTTGAGTAAGCAGCAGGAAAATAGATTAACATGTTTTCTTCTGTTTACAGAAAATAACTGAATTGTTGACTGTAAAGCAGTTATATTCATAAGATAAAAAGTAAACTCATGAAGTATTGTTGCAGGCAACATATTTCAGCTATACAGCCAGCTTAAAAATCCTCTATTTCCCAGCAGCTCATCCTCCAACAACAAGGCTGTTTGTTGTGCTTAGCAGGATTTAATGAGGGGAAATTTGGTAGTTATAATAGGACAGAAAAAAAGAAATACAGAGTGCACAATAAGTAACTTTCAAGTACAAACCACTGGGCATACAATCGCTACACAATATTGTCCTGTTCAATGACATTTTGAGAGAATAGCAATCTTCTAAAAACGTCATGAATTAGGACTCTGCTGAGGACTTAACTTCTACCGTCTTCCAAATTCTTCTCTTAAAACAGTGTCACAAGCTGCTTATTATTGTTAGATGCATAAGAACTTACAGATGAAGCCGGTATTGTAGACTTTTCAAAAAGTAACTCCAGAAGCCAACTTCCTGTCACCAGATTATTATCTTTATGTCACTTTCTTTACAGAAACTGACTGGTTGAAACATGGAAAAATAACTGCAATACATCTTTAGCTTTATCTGGTTTAGGTTGCCTTCCCCTCCCTTAACTCATCTGACAGCCTGTTTAACACTAAAACAGGTCTGTTTACTAAGAACACGCAGAAGACTAAATTCACTTTACTTTTAAGAGAAAATTTTTCAAACCACTTGAATTAATTCGCATTTATCACATCCCAACCACAAGCTCTAGTAGAATAGATTGAAATTTTACATGATAACTAAGACAAGTCTGATGTAGTAGGATATGGTTTATGCTATTGTCTTAAAGCCAACATCTAAAATAACAGTTTTTGATTCTTACACAGCTCTTCCAGGCTTTAATAATTATTTTGCAACCAAGTCTTTTGCAGTGGGTCTCAGTCAGCTTGGCCTATTTTAAAATGGCTAGTGTTGCCCCCTTTTTCTTTTTTGGAAAATAATTTAAATCCATCTGTAAAAGCAAAAAAGCAAATCAAAGTTCTTGTCACAGATTCCTTATTTCTTTCAACAGTGGCTTATTCTTTCTAACAGCTTTTAAATACGAATAATATAAAGCTTAGATGATAAAGAGATGAGTAATTATTTTAAATTGTGAAAAAGGAAAAGAAAGAAAAAAGAACAGAAATATGTGAATGACACTAAATAAATCAGAAATTAATTTTAGAAAAAAAAATTTTTACATTATTTTTCATGACTTTAAATAACCCATAGATGAATATGTACCCATCCTCTTTTTGCAAAGGAGTTTCTTTATTTAAAAGTTAAAACAAAAATAAAATGGTGGTTATTTGTTTTATTTGTTCCTTTACAAAAATCTTATCTTAAGTTAGATGGATTCATGACAAAAATGGGTATTTGGACTGTAGAAGTTCTAAAGGCTATCACATAAAAGTCCCACAACTTTAATAGAACGGACTTCATATCATTGAGTTTACCTAATGTGTTGAGGTTTTCTGCAGTATAAATGTGTGTGTTTGTTATTAAATGTATAACTCATTCAGAGGATCATAACATTTAAGACTGAGGCCTGTGTAAAACCTAATTTTGGATTAGACAACTGTTTTGTTTCTCCCCTTTGGTGGTCTAACAGTTTGCATTTAAAAAGTGTTATCTATTCCCTGCAGATTGTCTGTCTGGCCACCAAACATCTCGTCATCATGCTGCCCTGGCTCTGCCTCATTCTGCTCATCCTTGTCCCCATCATCCAATCCGATGAGTGTCCCTACGCTTCCAGGAACCCCACAGATGTTCGTCAGAATGTCACTTTGGCAGTTGTCTTGCCTATGACCAACGTGGATTATCCATGGGCGTGGCCTAGAGTGGCGCCGGCCATCAAAAAGGCCATTTCAAAGGTGAACTGTGACCCTTGGCTCCTCCCGGGTCTCAAGCTGCAACTGGTTAATGGCAACTCGGAGAACAGAGATGGCTACTGCTCTGATTCAATGGCGCCGCTGGTCGCCGTCGACCTGAAATTTGCCTACGATCCCTGGGCTTTCATCGGTCCTGGTTGTGTCTATTCTTCCTCACCTGTTGCTCGTTTCACCTCCCACTGGGATGTCCCCATGGTGACAGCCGGAGCCCGTGCCATAGGCTTTAAAGTTCATAGAGCCGTCACCAACACGGGCCCCACCCATTTGAAGCTGGGTGAGTTTAGTTTGAAGATCCAGCAGACCTTTAAATGGCAGCACGCCATGCTTCTCTACACTGACAACACGAACAGCAACGATGACAGGCCGTACTTCTTTGCTGTGGAGGGGGTCTTCCAGCATCTATTGCATAATAACATCACCCCAGACTCTTTCGTTATGGATAATGACATAGACTACAAGTTGGTGGCCCAAAAGATCAGAGAGAAAGGCAGAGGTCAGCTTCCTTTTTCCTTTCTTTCTGTTTTATCTTTGGTGATCAGTCGGGGCATCTGAACTCTGACACTGCAGCTGCTTTCACTGTTTGCTTGAGTCTTGGAGCTTCCTCTTCATTTCTCCACTTCATTTCACCCGCTCTTTCATTTATTGATTTGCTGCCTTGGAGATCCAGGGTCCTGACAGAAAGCAGAGGACAACTGCTTTCAATACTGCTTTCTTTTACTTTTCTTTCCATCCTGTTTTATTCTCTTATTGACTTCCATATTACTTTGATAAATCGGCTTATGTAAGTCCATTTTCTATGTTGTTTTTCTCTACGTTTTGTTGACTTGTCCATGTTGATAACTGATCAGCTGACCAAATACTGCAAAAAATGTAAGTTCCTTATTCCCCTATCTTTAAATGCTTCAATAAAGATTTTGTCTGAAGCATTAAAACATAGAGGAATAAAGAAATTACATGTGTCACACTCATATATATATGAGGACAACTGCTTTCAATACTGCTTTCTTTTACTTTTCTTTCCATCCTGTTTTATTCTCTTATTGACTTCCATATTACTTTGATAAATCGGCTTATGTAAGTCAATTTTCTATGTTGTTTTTCTCTACGTTTTGTTGACTTGTCCATGTTGATAACTGATCAGCTGACCAAATACTGCAAAAAATGTAAGTTCCTTATTCCCCTATCTTTAAATGCTTAGATCTTATATTGACCCAAATTTAGAGAACAGATGAGAAGCAAAGCCAGTGACATCTGTAAGGCAGAAAAGGTTCACAAAAAAATGACTTTGGCTTTTGGGCTTGAGTTACCGACTGTCTCAATGAATGAAAAAAAAAAAAAAAAAACATGGCATAATGATGAGCCTTCCCTCTATTAGAAGACCTTCTCTAGAACGAGACAAAATAAACCCAAAACAACTAAAGTATTTAAAGCCTCGCTATTCTCAGTTAAGGTCAGTGTTCATGTTTTAACAATAGAATCCGGGTAAAATGACCGTTCATGGGAGAGTTCCAATGCCAAATCCACTACTGACCAACAACAACACAAAGGTCCATCTCACATTTACCAAAGCATCTTGATAAGCTTCCAGACTTTTGGAAAATGTGCTATGGACTGACGATTGAAACATACAACCTTCTGTATGGTTTGTGTCCCTTTACGCCTAGAGTAAAACGGTGTTTCACATAGAGAGCATCCTACAGTCAGATATGGGGGTGGTAGCGGTATGGAATGGGGTTTCTTCTATGTTTCAGAATCTTGATGGAGTGATGATTCTGGTTTCTACCAAGCAGGGGGGCATTAAGCAGGACAAGGTTCAGATTTGAACACACCTGAGATGCTGCTGCATGTCCTTCGGTATGTCATCTATATTTAAAGACTTGCAACTAAAGTCCCTCCACTTTGATGTAAATAAGTCGTAGCTGGTTACTGGTAGTATTTTCACATAAAGCCAGGTTGGTGTAGACAGTGTTATTTTCCCCAATTAATAACTTTAGTCTAATTTTTCAAAATGTTTTTTTGTAGTTCTTGTGGTTAAGTTTATCTGATTTTAAGAGATGTAGTTTCCTTTCTTTTATCCCTTTCTGATCAGTCGTGCGTCGACTTTGCCTGAACTACCGAGGTCCAACACTTCAGCTGTCTTTTCTTCCCTGTTTTGATTCCGCTTCACTCCCTTGTGTTCCTTCCCCTTTGTTTCCTCCTGCCGTACTTTCCTCATCCTCCCTTGTTTTAGATCCCTCTCCCTCCCTTGATGTTGTTAAATGAAGGTTAATTATTGTTTGATTTTTCTCAGAAGTGGTTAATGACTGACCTCAGTTTTATATCTTTGTCTCCATTTAAGTTTGTGTGCTTTTTTTTGTTTTGTTTTACATCCTAAATTTATTGGCAGTAATTTTGGTTTAGGGCCTCGGGAGTGACGACATTCCTGCATTGTAAGGACATTCCTGCATTGTCAGGACAGCATAGTCAGACCTCTGTGTTAGGTTTCAGCTCAGACACAGAGCTGACCCCCAGTTTGGAAGACTAATCTGAGTGCATTTGTTGTGCACACCTGTAAGTAATCAGGAGCTAAGTGTGGAGGGGAAAAGGAATCTGTCCCTTTAATCCTCTGTTTACTTAATGTGAACCATACTGCTGCCGTCATGGAGTGAAATAACTGCGCAAGTTAAGGTATCATCTCTATACACGCCCCCTGTATGAATGTTTATTCCAAGAGGAAATGTGATTTCATTCAAATTCCTGCTGAGATGGGTTTAATCAGTGAGCTGATATATCGCCTTAAACCTTCCAGTTACCTTTTCTTGTTTTTAATAGGTTTTACTGGACTTTCGAACAACAAAACCTGTTCATTTTTTATTCGTCCAAATGTACCTGGATCCACAATTCAAAGCAGATAATCTGTCCACAGCTCTGCTAAACCTTCACAAATTCTGGCTGTTATAGAGGAAAGAGAAGAGAAAAAGCAGTTCCTTAGACCATTGAAAGAAGTTAGTCACAAGCAATATAGGAGACTCAGCAAATGCCAGGAGAAGCTGATCAGAGGAGCAGCATTCAGCTCTTGAACTATTATTCAAATAGTTGTTAATCATAAAATTAGCACTGCACCAAAATCTAAAGTTAACATCACCAAGGTGGAACACGGTGGTGGCAGCATAAGGCTGCTATTCTTTAAACTTGACCAGATAGACATAATGTGAAGATGGACAGAATTAGGCTGTTCATCTCTCATAGAATATCTCGGAATAATGTATTTCTGTGAAGTGCCAGGAGGTGGGCTGTGCCTATGCGTCATTTCACAAAAAAAATTGTGGGATTCCTTATCGCAGGGGTCTGCAACCTTTAAAGCAGAAATAGGGATTTTTTTTTCTGAGTCCAGCTCAATAAAAGTTGATTAGACTGCTCATTTTCCATTAGTTTTTGATATCTTAATTGTTCCTTTAATGTCATTTTGTTATGGAAATTCAATTTAACTATTACTTCAAAAAACCGCAAATGTTTCTAAAACTGCCATTTGTCTTAATACTATATTTAAAACTATTAGTACTTACTTATATTTTTTTGCCATGAATAAGAGCCATTGTTGAAGGTTCAAAGAGCCACTTATGGCTCTGGAGTGGCAGGTTGCAGACCCCTGCCTTATTGCACCTAAGCACCAAATAAGAACACCTCAGGATACCTGTGTTGAAGGAACTATGGTACAGTAGTAGCCGTTCAAAATGTCCCCACTTTCCTTGATGGGTCCTTGGCTAGTCCTCTATAATTCCTTTTTAAACATCAATCTTTGTACTAAAATATTCTTTTTGTCATTATTTGTGGACATTAAGACCTACAGAGAAGTGCCTTCTCCTGGTCAGACCCTGTAATTCAGTGAAAGGGTGGAGTCACAGTTAAAAAATATGCATGCCCAGGAGAAGGAGGGGGTCACTCCAGTGTCTGGAAGTTGGAGAGGATTTTGCTGGGAGTTGTAGGGAAGTGGGCTGCCATTCAGCTGGCATTTGACTGGAAAGGGCCATTTTGAATGGCTGCTACTGTAGGAAGCATCCAAGCTCCTTTTCCTACCAACTTCCTCATTTCCAGCGCTATTCGGGCAGTATTTAACATGGAAACCGCTGACACACGTCTGCTTTACCTAAATAGCCCTTAACAGTTTGCCCTATTTGGATTTAGCCTTCGATACACCTTGATCGTGAAAAAAAATGAGTAAGAAGCTGTAGAAATATTTGAGAGTTGGTCAGAGCTTCACCTTCCAGGAGGTCAATGAAATTTTAAAAATAGCCAGAGTCAGTTCAGATCAGAGCCTATTTATGTGTTAGAACGGCCCAGTCAAAGTTCAGGTTTAAATAAAACTTAATCTGGGGCAGAAAGCTGAGAATGACTGTTTCATTTAAAAAACAATAATCCTAATCTGTTTAACATACCTCTAAAATAATTAGAAACTAGTGAATCTTATTTAAAAAAAATAATGTTCCTCACCGTATCTTAATTCATGTCTTCCTGCTTATTCCGTTGCTTACCTACTTCTACTACATCTGACTTACTTTATCAGTCAGTTAATTAAACAATCAGTCTGAAGGTGTGAGTTATGCTTCAGGTGCTGCTCACCCATGGCTGTAGTGTAATCCTGTAATTTCAGAAACAGACATGATGACTTATTTGTTTTGGTGTTATGGCAGTTTTTCTGTTCAACACAGCAGACCTGTTTTGAAAATGATGGTGGTGTTTAGGAAACACCTTGGCCCATTACCTTTGCCTCCTCACGAAAGGCAGTACATTATTACATTGTTTGTTTGGAAAATGGTATTATTTACATGAAATAACACAATTTGTCGACAACAGCTCCACTACGTTTGCTTGAAACACATTATAGGGCAGTTATGTTCTGAACTGGATTAGTTTTGAATCCAGGTATAAAGGGAATGCTTTAAATGTGTCAGAGGAAAATGTTTTTTCTTACAGATTAATTTTGCTAACTTAAATCTTAATCTCAAATATTTCAAGCAAATATACATATTGTTTTAGAAGGAAAAAAACTGGAGTAAATACAGAATGCAGTTAATAATTGGATTTATTAAGGAAGGAGCTTTCGAGAGGAAGCTGGTGCTTCATGAACTGGTCCATTACAATACCTTCACTTTTTTTATTTCATTGTCTTTTGAGGCACTCAGAGGAAGACTTGCTGATGTGCTTCGGACCATTGTCCTACTGAATAACCCATGTGAGCTTGAGCGTAAATACAGAAACTGATGACCAGATGTTCTCCTTCTGGATTCTTTGGTAGAATACAGATTTTACGGTTCCATCAATCACAGTCAGCCATCCAGGTCCTGAAGCAGCCATGTCGGTATGGGACTTTTTCTCTAAAAAGCTGGATTTCCTTTACACCAGATGTAAAAGAATGCACCACTTGAAAAATTTTCCACTTTTGTTTCCTCACTCCTTAGAATATTTTTTTTTACAAAAATCTGGTTTTGATTGCTCCTCTGTCCAGACAGACCT